TCTATGGGCAATGGATTTCGTGTAACCACCTTATGTCTCCTCCTTTAACTGTCATGTATAGAAGGAGGTGCTAAACTGCTACCCTCCACAGCATTTCTCAATTCCTTGTTACCTGCTTCCCAGAAGTTTGTCTCAAATAAATGCAACCAGAAATTCTCTACAGGCTCAAATGTTTCACACTAAGGATGTACAATGTGCTTTTTGAACACATAATTCCTCCTAGTTACTTAGAAATTTTGTTTTATATTCTTTGAAACAACTTTTCAGGTTTATATGTGGATTTTAATGGTTTCACTAGTATGCATATCTCAAAAGTAAACTAGAAGTGAAATAATTTGGTTTCATTCTTAGGGCTTCTTGAAATTTTTTGTTCAACTCTACCAAATCAGTTTTCAACACAGACTTGTCAGTGCTCATATTTTGTTAGGGCTTTTATTTATTTATTTTTATTATATTTTATTGATTATGCTATTATAGTTGTCCCATTACCCCCCTTCATTCCCCTCCACCCTTACACCCTCTCCCACCCACATTCCACTCTTTTAGTTCATGTCCATGTGTCATAAGTTCTTTAGCTTCCCATACTATTCTTGCCCTCCCCCTGTCTATTTTCTACCTACCATCTATGCTACTTATTCTCCATAGCTTTTCCCCCTCTCTCCTCCTCCCACTCCCGTTACTAACCCTCCATGTGATCTTCATTTCTGTGGTTCTCTTCCTATTCTAGTTATTTTATTTTTGTTTTTGTTTTAGGTGTGGTTGTTAATAATTGTGAGTTTACTGTCCTTTTACTATACATGTTTTTATCTTCTTTTTCTTACCTTCTTTTTCTTAGATAAGTCCCTTTAACATTTCATAAAATAAGGTCTTAGTGATGATGAACTCCTTTAACTTGACCTTATCTGAGAAGCACTTTATCTGCCCTTCCAATCTAAATGAACGCTTTACTGGATAGAGCAATTTTGGATGTAGGTCCTTGCGTTTCATGACTTGGAATACTTCTTTCCAGCCCCTTCTTGCCTACAAGGTCTCTTTTGAGAAATCAGCTCACAGTCTGATGGGAACTCCTTTGTAAGTTACTGTCTCCTTACCTCTTGCTGCTCCTAGAATTCTCTCCTTCATTTTTCCTTGGCTAATGTAATTGTGATATGCCTTGGTGTGTTCCTCCTTGGGTCCAACGTCTTTGGGACTCTCTGAGCTCCCTGGACTTCCTGGTCTATTTCCTTTGCCAGATTGGGGAAGTTCTCCTTTATTATTTGTTCAAATAAGTTTTGTACTTGTTGCTCTTCCTCTTCTCCTTTTGGTACCCCTACAATTTGGATGTTGGAACGTTTAAAGATATCCTGGACGTTCCTAAGCCTCTCCTCATTTTTTTTTTAATTCTTCCTTCTTCATTCTTTTCTGATTGTATGTTGTTTTCTTTCTCTGGCCCATTCCATTGATGTGAGACCCAGCTTTCTTTCCACCACTATTGGTTCCCTGTGTATTTTTCTTCATTTCACTTATTGTAGCCTTCATTTTTTCATCTAATTTGTGAGCAAAGTCAACCAATTCTGTGACCATCCTGATCACCAGTGTTTTGAACTGTGTATCTGATAGGTTGGCTATCTCTGTTGTTTAAAAATATCAGTTCTGGAGCTTTCACTTGTTCTTCTGTTTGAACCATCTCTTGTTTTCGTCTTGACGCACCTGTTACATATGAGGGGCAGAGCCTTAGGTGTTCAGGGCAGGGCACCCCAGTTGCTGGGTTGTGACGCTGTATGTGGGGGTGGGGGCAGGGTCACAGAGGGAACAATGGTGCTTGTTCTGCTCTATGTCAGACTTCAATCCCTTCCGCTGCTTCCCCCAAGCAAACTGGGCCTTTCTGGTGCTAATTCCCATGTGGGTGGGCTTGTGCACCCTTTGGGTCTTTCCAACGACCTCTCCTGTGAGGCTGGGAGTCTCTCCCTGCTCCTCAACCCCCACAGGTGTTTCCAATCAGTGCCCCAAGACTCTATTTCCCAGCACTGGGACCCTGAGACCACCTGGTCAGCCATCTGCCTTGTACGCAGTGCCTTGCTTCACAATCACTACCTCTTTGGGTCTGCTGGTTGCCACCCCTCAGCCGGCCAGGGTCTGCCAGCCAGCGCTTGTGCGCCCAGGATCCGTCCGCTGTGGTCTTGCATGCCAGGAATGCCTTACTCCAGTCCCAAATGCTTTGTTCTGAGAACCCTCTCCACACTGCTGCCCGACTCCACTCCTCCTACCAGTCTGGATGAACTTGTCTATTTTAACTCTTTGGTTGTCCGACTTCCATACAGTTCAACTTTTTGTCAGTTCTGGTTGTTATTCTGTTTCTATATTGTTGTTGTCCCTATCTTGGTTGTGCAAGGAGGCGCACTATGTCTACCTATGCCTCCATCTTGGCCAGCAGGGCTTTTATTTTTAATAATGTATTTTAATTCAAGATATCAAAAAATTTTCATTTCAATTTTTAATCTATATAAAACATTTTTGTTTCCTTTAAAATTTATTTATTTATTTATTTATTTCCTCTGTGCCACTGAGTGACAGCTGCCACTGGCACAGTCCCAGGGCAAGGATGCACCCAAGGGTTTTTCTTTCAGCACCAGCTACTAAATCCTGGCCCCACTGCTTTAAAATTTTTTTTTTTAATTTTTGTGAACTTATTGGGCTGACATTGCTTAATAAAATTACATAGGGCCCTGTTGGAACCGCCCTGCCCAGTTTCAGAAGCTATAACCCCCATGACTAAGGCTGAGTAAAGAGACCTTGGGACCATAAGCCACTAAGGAGACAAAGCTTATCTTCTGGGCAGGGGCACTGCCTATGTCCTCTCTACTAATCACCCTGCTTGGCCCCGGACAGGAAGGGGACTGGTTAGCCAATGATGGCTAAGATTCCTCAATGGAGGGACGACCTAAGATAGGCACTGTCTTGAAGCAGTTATCAGAGGACTTGGAAGACTATAGAAAATGGGGTGATGGACCCTACCTCTCAGCTCTGACATAGCCTGAGTCCTCCTTCTGTCTGTAACAAGTCTGCTAATCCCTTGGCTGCCGACATATCCCATCTGACTTAAGCCTAAAATAAGGCCGGAGGTGCATGCAGCCATGTGCTGGAAAGGGCAGGTTCCCTGGAATAATCAGGACTAAGAAAGAATGCATAAAATCCTGTGAAATGTGATTTGCTAATATCCTCAATTTAAATGATAAGGATCCAAGCATAAAATGAGTTTGTTTCCCATAGGTTTTTGGCCCTTTGGCTATCTGACCCTGACTCAGAATAAGCCCTCATTGTTCTTTGAAAGTTATCTATTATTTGGTCATCACTGCCTTACAATGATTGATGAGCTTTACCTATATACCCTGTATTCCCATGCAAATTATACCCAATAAAAGCCCATTAAGGAACAGACTCAAGGCCCTTCTCCTTTGAGAGTTTGGCTACCTTTCCTTCCCAAGCATAACAGGTAGACTTGTTCTTATCTGTAGCAGACTAGGTGGTGGTGGGGGGAATCTGTGGGCTGAGCACCCCCCCCTCCCCAGGGCCCTGGACTGTGTGGCTTGGTTGGTTGGAGCATTGTCCTATAACTAAAAGGTTGTGGGTTCAATTCGTAGTCAGGGCATATTTCTACATTGTGGGTTTGATCCCCAGTCACGCACCAAGGATCCCTGGTGCAAGCATGTACAGGAGGCAATCAGTCGATATTTCTCTTTCTCATTGATGTTTCTCTCTCTCCCTTTCCCCTCTCTGTGAAGCAATGAAAAATGCCCTCAGGTAAGGATAGAAATAATTAAAACTTCAAATAGTTGCCGGTATATATGTTTCAAGTGCACAATTCTATCATACATCACCTGCATACTGCATTATGTGTTCACTATTCAAAATCAAGTCTCTGTCCATCACCATTTATTTCCCCTTTATCTTCTTCTACCTCCCTCACCCAACTTTCCCTCTGATAATTACTATAATGTTGTCTGTGTCTATGAAGTTTTGTTGTTGTTTTTTTCTTGTTTTTTTGGTTTTTTGCTTAACCCACTTCACCTTTTTCATGGAGCACCCAAATTCCCCTCCCCTCTGACAGCTGTCTCTGTATGTACCAGTTTGTTTTTATTTTGTTCATTACATTCCACATGAGTGCAATCCTATGGTATTTGCCTTTTCTCTGATTTAATTCACTAATAACGACTGCCAGGTCCATCCATGCTGTGGCAAAACGGTAAGATTTCCTTCATTTTTACCTTCTTAATGAGATGTTTAATGCACACATTTTGCTGTGTATAACATGCACCCACGTTTTTGGCCCAACTTTCCAGGGGGAAAATCCTTTTAATTTTTTAATTCAGTTTATTTATATTTAGGGTTTTTTTTTATTTTACGAAGAAATTTTGGCATTTATTTTTGAACATATTATGGTACAAGAAATTTTATGGGACAAATAATACAAAACACAAGAACAGATACATGGTATTCCAGGTACTACTTGTGTATAATACACAGCCTTATTTTCCCCTCAAAAATATGGGCAAAAAAGTGCCCATTAAACATGAAAAATACTGACTATATAAAACTTAAAACAAAACATGAGTTTGAAAACCCGCGGGTGTTCTCCCTTCCGGCACTTCTCTAGGCACGCTGTCTTGACATGAGCAACCCCATTGTACATGGTTCTTAAAATTATTTTGTTTCTCTCTGCCTTACATTACTGTGATTGACTCAACTTTGTCTCCCCATAAACTCTTTGTTTAACGTTCTATTTTGAGTTCACCTCAAAATCGGAAAGCTGCCAATAGGGCAGCAGGGCTCCCTATTCTCTGCCCTACCTGGCTGAAGCACCGCTGCAGTTAGGCCAGAAAACAAGCTGCGGGGCAGGCGTCTGCGCGAGTTCCGGGAGGGACGCACAGCGTCGCCCGCCTAGAAGGCGGCTGTGTCCAGAGCAAGAGAAGATGGCGGTCTCCACCGGTCAGTCGGTTCCAGGCCCGGGCTGCTAGATTTCCCACTTTGACCAGGCTCCGCCCCTCCGCCCCTCCGCCCCTCCGCCCCTCCGCCCACTGCCTGCAGCTGAGTGCTGACCGCGTCTGTGAAGCCAGAGTGTGGCTTCTCCGATACCGATACCGGGCTCCTGGCGGAGAGAAGCCCGGGACCCAGGAGTGTGCGGCAACACTGTCCCAGGCGTCCGTCGGTGTCCACGGTTCACTCTCACGCCTCGGCCTCTCGCTAGTGATCCTGGGCCAGACTCACCCCAGCGCAGGCGCACACGCAGGGTCCCCCGGGGTGCCTGTCGGAATCTAGGAAGAAGGAGGTGTAGGAGGAGGTAGGAAGGCCCAGGGTGGGCAGATCTGAACCTCAGACAACCCAGGCGGTGCCCGGTTAGCCAGCATCCTGCGGGGAGTGGAGGGAGGTCCACTTCCCCTGGACTTTCCTTGGTGTGGGTGGAGGAGGAGAGGACTAAGGAGAAGAGGACTGTTGCTCTTTGTAATAACGGAAAGATGACCATTCTTATGCAATTTAGTGCGTGTAATCTTTTTTCATTAAGTGAGAAACTGCAGTGCAAACAAAATAAAAGCTCAGAAGAAAATGAAGGCGAACTGAAACACTGGTTGCTCAGAGAAGCTGCTCAACTCCTGTATACAGTGTTTAGTTTTTTGTGAGCACGGACTTTGAAAGTAAGTTTTAATGATGAGGTTTTAGAAATTTGACCATTTAAAAAATGTTAAGCTAAAATGGTAAGATTTACTACTTAAAACATTACTAAAGATGACCTTTGGAAACCAGATTATAGAACATTGTGATTTACTATTTCATGCTCTCATTGCATAATAGAAATAATTTTCAAACTATGTGCTGAAATGGAAGCCTTCAGTGTATTGTGATTGGTACTTTTAAGGTAATACCTAAGGATACAGTCTACATACATTTTAATGAAAAGTTGTCTTAAATCTCATCTTTATTATTTTCAGGTGTCAAAGGTAGTAAGCATTTCAACAATGTTAGCATTAGGGAAATATTTCAGTACACTTCAGTTCAGAACAACTAATAAAGCAAGGCTTATTGAAAAAGTGACCTTCCGTCGCTTCTCAGGCTTTTGGCTGAGATCAAGGGTAGCATCAGTGATTATCAATTTAATATCTGACAACTCCTCTCTCCAAGGACATTATATTAAATGGAATTTTGGAGCTGGGAGATGGAATAGGTGCTTGCTGCATCCATTCTGTGCATTAACCCCATATTGCAGTACTTCTTGGAACTGTGCACCCCCTGGGCGGGAACAACAAAAAGTGACCTTTTAGTGTTACAACTTCTATTACTCTACTTGATATTTGAAATCATGTGGTGCTTGTGATGGAGTAATAACTTTTAAAGAATTGTACTTAGTACCTATAGTTTCTTGAAAATTTAGTAATAAAATGGTACATTTCAATTTGATTGATAGTTTTCATTTTATGGATTGCATTATTTATTTAAACATGATGGTTTCTGTCTAACATTATACATATGAGAGAGTGTGAAAATGATTTTGAGAAGACCAAATATTAGATGATATTAATGGCAGGTAGGTTTTGCTCACCATGTTTAGTCATTTTTGGAAGTCAAATACAAATTCTGCAGAAGTTGCTGCTAGATTATTAGCATATTTTACATTAGAAGTCTGCATTTTCCAGGTGATATTTAGTTCTTATTGCTGCAGTTTAATTCTGTCTTTGGATTTATGAAATTTGAAACTCAGAATAATGAAAAAGAAGGTAGTTAATGAGCTTTCTTAAACAACTGAAATTTGTTTTGAAACTGTTGCTAAAAATTTGCCCTAAAAATTTGGTGTATTTAATATTATTACATGTATCCATTTTTTGTGCTTTCTGTCATAGCCAGTGTTATTGAATTGGTAGAGAGATGAGTGCAGAAGAAACTCTGGACTATGTTTTGGAACTGTTTTTAAATTATACTTTTTATTAGCTATATTTTGTATTGTCTGCTTCTTGGTAGCAAGGGAAGTACACAGTACCTGTATATTTGTGAAATAAATGTGCTATAGTGTAAAATGTAAAATTAGGTGAATTAGATGTAGTATATGATTTTTATTTATGTCAAAATACTCCTGATAAAAATACAGTAGTTGTTTGATAATAGGCCCAAAAGAAGAAAAACACTGACAAATATTTTTGAATTTTATTAAAGCATATTTTAATGTGCATTATCTAAATCATATATTTTACTTTTAGTAAAAGAAACATTTTGGGGAAAATGTTTCCCAAAGTCTGGCTTTCCCCAGCCCTTTTCACAAAGGTTGGATAACATGATTTTGTTTTCCCACCTTCCAGATGAAGAATCTTGGATGTGGGCAGAACTTGGGAGTAATGGAAGAGATTTCCACATGTACATTGTAACATACAACCTGGGAAGTAAATAATAGAAGAGCCAAAGTGCAGCAGGCCAGAGTATTTCTGTCATGAGTCTTCAATAACAGGCCTGGTGGATTTTTGTAGGTTAGTTAGGAACCTGGATGCTCTTGATAAACATTTGTTGTTGATAATATCATTAAATAATACTTCCTTATTATACAGGCCGTCCTCCCTTGGCACAATAGTATAGGGTGGTAAAAATGATCATTCAAACTAAAACTTCAAATGAGTCCTAAAAGTGAGAAAAATGACGAGCATTCTGTGACATTTGGAAATGTTTGCTAAGTTTGGAAAAGTTTGTTAAACTCTTCATGTGGAGATACGTTCATTAGATTACTCCTTTCTTCCCATGGATGCTGTTGAGTAAGCATCGTTGAAGTAAACTTACATTTGTTTAGTCTACTGAACTTTAAACTCTAGAGACATTAAGAATTAGTGTTTTATTTCTGTGTAAATTTCTCAAGTGCAGTTTGAACAATTGCCTTTTCCTTCTGATTATACAGCTTGTGATGCAGCACAAGCATATCATCTATGCTTTGGTGAATTCTCATACTCCTAAGTTAGGATCAGCTTCCAATGTTTTATCCTTTGTGCTTTCACTCATAGGAAATCTCTCTGTTTATTCTGAAGTTCTCCACTTCCTCTGGAACATTGTCATCCTTCACGGTTACTTTCCTCATTTCCATAGAAACACTCACCTTCACAAAGTTCCTCTGGCTGCTCCTCTGGAGTCTCAAACATGCAGGTGGTGGGGTATTTCTTCTACAACTATTTCCATTTGATTTATATTCTACTTCCAGTTGTTGTTTCTTGCCTGCACATTTATCTTTGTGGGCCGATAGAGAAAGAAAGGAAGATATTTTCAGCACCAAGGAGGAAACCCAGTAGAATGTACCTTTTCTCTAAGCATTAAAACCAATATGAGACTACAACTCACAGCAAAAGGGAACAAAACAAAACAAAACCTGATTTGAAAGTGGACAGAAATTTGAACAGATATTTCACTAGAAGCCACTTTGAAGGCTCTTGACACAAGGAACAACATGAGACAGTTGGTTTGTTTGGAATGTTAACAAAAGACCACTGGCAGGTTTTATGCAGGTGCAGGATAATAACTGAACTTAAAGTAATTTCACCTTCTTAAGGTGCATACCCGAAAGTGAGGCTAAGCTGAGCACTGTGTTCCTAAGCTACAATATGGTCTTTGGGCCTGTTCAGATTGGTGTTCCAGCTTATGCCCCATTTGTCCTTGTAACTCTTTTGAAAAGATTTTATTGATGTACTTTTGGAGAGAGGGGAAGAGAAGGAGAAAGAAGGGAGAGAAACATTATGTGTGGTTGCCTCTCACCCATCTTGTACTGGGGACATGGCCCACAACTGAGGGTTGTGACAGAGACTTGGAATGGATTCAGCAACCCTTTGTTTTGTAGGCGCACACTGGATTGCACTGAGCTACACTAGCCAGGGCCTTTCTTGTAACTCTTGTACCTCTATTTTTCAGCATCAGATTCATGGGATGTCAGCCTTCAGGCATTAAGAGACATTATCTCATTTTTACCTTAGGATGCCCTTAGGAAATGGTTTCTACCATCATCTTCATTGTGCATTTTGGGAGACTGGGGAGGCCCTGGAAACAAAGGCTTTCTCAGGACACAAAACTGGTAAGAAAAAGGAATTCTGAACTCAGCTTTCTCCCCTATGCAAAGGGCCTGATACATTTCCAGGGAGCTATAGACAGGACTATATTAGGTATCAGTGTACACACACACACAGATGGCATGAGAGAGGAGGGTGAGGACTGAATAGCCCAGAGGGAACTTTGGGAGGCTCTGATTGGAGGAAGGGGTTCAGGTCATAGAACCTTGAAGGGCTCACCTCATTTTCTCTATGAAAGGCCCCAAAGAGAAATTAGAACTCTGGTAACTAGGCACCCACATTCTAGAGACAACTGCCTCTCCAGGTCACTTGACTGTACACAGTCAGGAGACTAGGATGTCTCTGTGTTGTTTCCTGCTTTTTTGAGGCTCTGGGCTAAAGAAAGCCCAGAGTGAGAAAAGTTTCTCTTGCTTTAGATGCTGGTGCAAGAGCCGTCATCATCAACACCTCCCACCACCTGGCAAGACACACACTCAGGTAACTGTGGCAACGCCAGGCAGGTCCATCCATGCCAGGCGCCCACTGGGAACTCACTTGGGCCACATCACACCACACACCCCTCTTCCTGCATATATGTGTGTGTTGGAGGTGGTGAGGGAATGGGGATGAGGGGTGCTCATTCTGGTTCCCAGATGGTTGTTAGGTGCTAGAAACCTGAAAGGACTGTCATGGTCATACCCCAGGTCATGGAAGGCAGTATGGGAAGATGAGTGCTGGGGACCAAGCTCCTAGCCCACTGGGCCCTCAAGGTGTCATTTAATTTCTTCCCTGATTGGAGGTGATTTCAGGTGCTTCTCTGTGCCTTCCAGATGTGGGGAGGAGAAATCGTGGTCGTAATCGCCCCCAGTGGCAATGCCCAGACAGGCCCGTGACAACACCTGACCCTTTACTGGGCTCAGTCTTTACAGAAGCCCATACAGGACATCGTAGACTTGGCTGATGGGTTCACTTACACCATCAATGGCCACGGCAGACCATTGCACCAGGCCAGAAAGACCATTCAGTGCCAGACTGAGGTGAGAGTTGGCCCACACCCAGGGCCCCAAGATGACTGGGGTGGGATCATAACTTAACTCAAATCTGGGGCTTTGTGGTTTTCACATGACCACTTCCAAATTAGTCTGTACTTCCAATCCTCCTACCAGGTTTCTGCTAGGGGAGAAATCCATTCTTCACATTTGTTAGAATCGTAAAGAAAATATTCTTGCTATTCCATTTTACTTGTTTCAATTATTTAACTGCCTATATCATGTATCTTGTAGAGTACAAGATACTCTACAGATTACGACCACGATTTCTCCTCCCCACATCTGGAAGGCACAGAGAAGCACCTGAAATCACCTCCAATCAGGGAAGAAATTAAATGACACCTTGAGGGCCCAGTGGGCTAGGAGCTTGGTCCCCAGGTGTCCCAGGTGACTAGGAGCTTGGTCACCAGGTGTCCCAGCTGACTAGCTGTGGTGTCCTTGAACATCTTCAGGTCTACATATCATCACACATAGAGCGTGGTGTTTGTAAAACAACAAAGAACCCAATATGGGAGGAATTTACATATGTGATACATGTGTCTGCAACTTGACATCTCACAGAACATGCAAACCATCTTAAGGCACCCAGCTCAGCAGTTGTGGCCTTATGCATCTCCATATTACCCTACAGAGAAGGTAATTCTCCTCAGTGATTCTGTTTTTAGACCTTGACATGATGCCATTCTGCTGCGATTTCAGCAGGGCAACTAGGAACAGCCTCACTGTCTCCTCATAGACTGTGTACTAGTTTGCCAGGTCTCCATTACACAGGACCACAGATTATGTGGAAGGTTGCTAATGACTCCTGGCTCAGTACCCAGCTCTGTTTTTGCAGAACTCCAGCAATGACATCATTGAGGAGCTGGTCCACGAGAGCCACTATAAGGTCTACAGGGTCAAGGTACAGGTGTACAAGACTGACACCACCATCAAGTGATGGTCTCAGGTAAGAGCTGGGCCAGGGATTCTCCACAGCCAGGAACCCAAAGTGACCTGAGAGGGCCAAGTATCTAGGCTCAAATATGGGGATGGCTTCCTCATGGCCCTCCCAGGGCTGGTTCTGAAGTGTCCCACTATCCCATGCACATAGGAATCTGGACTTCCACTTTTCCCATCAGCTGTATAAGACAGGAAAAAGATATTCCTCACATGCTTGTGCAAATATTAGAGAAAAAAATGTTACACTTCACAGCAGAGCTCATGAACATTAGCATTTGGCAGTTTTTGTCGATTTTCCTACCAGCCCCAAGACTCTGGTGGAGTGGGCGGCCCACTGTCCTTGCAGACTCCCAAATCTTGTACATCATCATACTGGATTAGGGGGAGTTGTACATAAAATTAAGAGAAATTCATGTATAGGATCATTTCTCTGTAACTTTTCACTTCACAAACCAGTGCAAACCACTGTAATCTGGCCATTAGGAAATGTGACCTCAGTCATATCCATACTATCTCATAAAGGAGGTAGTTTCAACATTCACTGATGTTGGACTTTGACATGATTCAGTTCTGCTTCTTCAGGAAGGCTACCAGGAACATCCTCAGTGTGTCACAGTAGACTATCAGTTTGCCAGGGCTTCCATAAGGCCAAACCACAGGTTGGTTGGAGGGTTCCTGATGCTTACTGGCTGGGTACAGGGTTTGTCTTTGTAGATTTTCAGTGAAGACATCCTGGAAGAGCTTGTGAATGGTTTTTATTATTATTATTATTATTATCATTTTAATTGTTGTTCAAAAACAGTTTTCTGTCTTTTACCCCCATCTGAGCCCACCCACTCCAGCCCTTCCCACCTCCCTCCCATTTCCACCCCCCTTTGTTTTTGTCCATGTGTCTTTTATACTTGTTCCTGCCAACCATTCCCCTTTCCCCCTGAAATTCCCTCTCCTCTCCCCTCTGGTTACTGTCAACCTGTTCTCAATTTCATTGTCTTTGGTTATATTATGCTTGTTTGTTTGTTTTGTTTATTAGGTTCTTGTTAAAGGTGAGATCATATGGTTTTAACTACTGTACCGCGCTAGACAACGGGAAGGTGCTTCAGTTCACTGGCACCAGCACATGTTGCACTGAGCTAATAGTTACCTCAGGTGGGTCTCCACACTTGTGAACCCAAGATTACATTCAGGTGCCCTTGAGCAGACCCCATTTGGGGACTCCCTCAGGGACCTCCAAACGCATTTCCTACACTGACCCACAGTGCCATATACACAGGAATCTGGACCTCATCTTCTCCCTCCAGCTACAAGTGAGCATAGAAACAAAATACTTGTTGTAATAGGAATATTCACAAACATATTTTTTCATAGTAGACCACAAGCATATTTGTATTTTTCTTATTCTGTTTTAGATTTTTTTTAAACTACTTGACCCACATTCCTGCAGAGCAGTAAGTTCAACAGTCATTGAAGACCATCTCCAATAATAGAGGTTGTTTGCCACACCAGTGCAGCCCTCAGTTCTGGTGAACATGGTGTCATTCACCTCGGGTGAATGTCAGCGGTCCTTCCAGATCACTTAAGTGTGTCCTAAGGAACTGCGTATATTGCTGAGGATGCCATAACACAGGACCCCACTGGGTGATGCAGAGAGCAGACACTTAATTTTTCACAATTTCAGAGACTAAGAGTTAGAAGTGGGGGTGTAGGCACTGCTAGTTCTTTTGGACCTGTTTCTCACAAGTTCATACATGGTTGTCCCTATCTCTGTGTCACACCCAATCCCTTCTGTGCCCTTTTGTCTCCTCCCTTCTCTTCTAAGGTCACTGCCCACATTGGCTTAAGAGTCATATCACTGAATTCACTTGACTTCAATGACCTCCTTTAGGACATACTCATATAGGTATATTTTGAAGTTCTAGGGGTTCCAAACACATGGAATTTGGGTGACACCCTTAAGACCACAATGTTCACCTGGACTATGATCCGCTGGAAGGACATGCACATGTAGAATGTTAGTAGCTGCAGCCAGATTCCAAAATGAAATGTCTGTAGCATGACAGTGCCAATAGACCTTTTTTGATGATGGCTGCTACCTTGCACCCACTGAGTGTTTCTCATTAATTTATATTTAGAGCAATGCAGGGAAAATACAGACAACTGTAACTGAACAACAATAAAAAAAAAACAGAAAGAAAAATTACCAATGTGATTATTACATGTCCAAATGCGCCCCAGTGTTCCTTGCCTATCGCTTGTCTCCAGTGTACTTTGAATCAGCTGTCAGCGTGTCTCCATCCACAGGAATTGGACCCACCTGAGTCATCTGTTCAGACTCCTGCCTGGTGACCAGCTTTCTCCAGTCAGAGGTCACCAGGCATTTGCCCCTGTTCTGTCTCTGCACCCCAAAATGACTTTTAATACACCAAAAAGGGAAATAACAGTTGTTTTAGAAGTCACTGGTTTTCATAGGCTGTGACTATCCATCTTGTACACACTTCCCAAATAGGGAGGGACAGTGTTCCCCAACCATTTCCATCCATGTCAGGAGCAGAAAAGTCTCAGGTAGCTAAGGGGAAATGCCATGCATCCCTAGCTTTGCACACTTCTCAGTTCTAACCTGTATGATCTTGAACAGCCATTTGACATGCCCAAGCCTGAGTGATTTCATCTCTATAATGACAATACTGTTTGATATTTCATAGGTAGAAAGCTCTTCATGAGAGTGTGATTATGGAAAGTCTGTTACTCCTCGTGTTCAAAAAATACCTAGAAAGGTGCAATTAAATCAATACTCCCCTTCCACCAAAAACTGATGGTACTTTTAAAACCTATTGATAGAACCCTGTTTCATGTGAGCACTCCTGACCCTTCTCTTGCACAAGTCCCTGATGGGCTGGCAGCTTTGGATAAGCTCCAGACCTCAGTCCTCCTAGAGATTCATGGTGATGCCACTGAGTAGATGTCTATCCTGGTCCCACACAGGGTGCAGCTGAGTACAGATTCAAATTGAGAGTAGCCTGCAGAATGCGCACCCTCCTGGGAGGTGCACTGAAGAAGCTGGCAGAGTTCCTGACTCCAGCTGTTCTGGGTGGAAACATCCCCTGCCTCTCCACCTTCAGGACTATGCACTCATCCTTCTCCAGAGACCCAATGCTCTTGGATGATCTGCTAACTCGGTGAGCACATGGCCCCTCTTCAGCACAGCTGTGATTCTGCCCACTGCAAGCAGTGTACCACATAAATATCACCCCATCTCCCTGTGCCTCAGTTAGTTCCTTTGAAATGTGGGATCACAGAGGACAAACCTCATAGTGTTCTCTCAGGGATTACGGTGGGGACAATCCAGGCAGGTCTTAGCTGGCACCTGGCCCTACAGACATGGCTTCTGGATGTGGTAGTTCATGGAAATTTTCATTTTTTTTTCCACCATGAAAAATCTCCTGCCTGACCCATGATGGCCTGTGGCATTTCTAAGCTTGGAAAAGCAAGTGGAAAACAATCTGTCAAGGTGCTGGGGAAAGCACTTCACTGATCTTTGCACTTGTCTTTGGCATTGCCACATTAGGAATCTCTGGATATAGCAGGGTTCTCCAGGCCCACTCAAATATATGGGATGGTTCTGGTTGGACTTCCTTTTTTCGACTAGTACCTAGTACACCTAGGTACCTAGTACTGAGCACCTAGTACAAATAGGCCTCACTAGGCGCACTTAGCATAACTTAGTGAATGAAGCAGACACAGTCCTAGGGCCTCGCTTCTACTCAATGAATCAGTCACTCACAATATATCTTTTTCACATCCTGTCCTGTATCCATTAGATCTGATACAATCAGGATCTTTAGGACACCTGAAGGCCTACTGCTAATAATAACAATGGACACTCATCGAGGGACCAACTAAAAATGTGGGTGGTGTTTGGGTCCAGAAGGTAGACATCGTGTGTTGAGAGCATCCTGGTAGTAACCGGGAGGGTCTGGAACCAATGAGATTTTATAGATCTGACTCCCAAGGGAGTCCTGAGCTCTGGTGGATTCTATGGCAAGAGGACAGAATTAAGAGAACTATGGAGGGAGCCCCTGGACTCAAATAACCAGAAGGAGGCTGGGATGCATATGGCCCTAGGGTTCCAAAACCACCACAATCCACTCCCACTTAGCCTGACCTTCCCCGAGTCAAGTCTCACCACCATCCCCAGGCTCCAAACAGCAGATGTAGTCAGAGCCTGCTCACCAATCTACCTCAAACTTCAGTCTAGATGAGCATGTGCATGAAGGGTTGGGGTAGGCAGGGTATCGACCTTGAGAAGAAATGTCCTTGGAAAGAAAAACTCACAGGCTCTCCATCCTGACACTGCAGCATTACCAAGCCTGCTCCTCCTGGGACAGCCGGACAGGGGTTAGGGTTGGCATTGGGCTCGCTCCTGGTTGACCGTGGGCATGCTCAGAGACCCTGTCCCAAACAAGTTTGTACTGGGAGGGCAGCATAGGAGAATTTCAGACTCTGACTGTGCTGCCCAACTGCCTCTCCCCAGGGCTATTGCTTCTACAGGGGGAGCCTGGCCAGACCAGGTGCAGGAGTTCGACCAGCCCTTACATTTGTCCTTGTTCCATCTGAAGCAGGCCTTGGTGCAAGTCAGCTTCCCTACTTCACAGCAGCTGTGCGAGGTCCAACTTTTTTGGGTCAGTCTGGAATATCCAGAGCCCCAGGATGCAACACCAGAAGGTGAGGGAACTGCAGTCTGGGAAGATGACCCAGGAAGGGGAAGTTCATTGGCAGGAGTTCCCTTAAAGGCAGGGGCACCTTTCCTGTCTCTGAAAAAAAAACAAGGAAAAATAAGGTATATGTGTGGGAATCTTTTTTTTTCTCCTGCTCCTCAAGATCCTCTTCAAGAATTTGAGAGCAATGCACATCCATAGGTAGTAGATGCTCATTGGCTAGTGCCTGGTTCAGCTAGCTGTCTCACCCAGGCCTGGCCTGGATTGGCCTGGGCTGATGCAGTGCTTGGAACCAGGATGGAGCCTTCTGTTGTGCTTTCTTTTTCTTGCCCTCTTAGGAATTCTAAGCTAAACCTAAATGAGAGGAACATAACCCAACAATAGATTTATAATAGCAAAAATGATAATTTTCAACAATACTAGTTTGTTTATATAAAGTATATTTCATGAAATAAAATATTGTAAAAGAAAAAAAATAAAGTTAATTAAAAAGATGTGTGGACAATATGTACTTATACATAATATAATTTTGTGTACATATATGTGGCTGAATGTAGAAAATGTTCACTATACCACATATTTTTAAAATCTAAAACATTTAAAGCTTATGCTTCAACAAAAATAAAGTGATACAATGATGAAATCAAATTGGAAATGCATGCACCAATATTTTACCAGTAGTAACTATAGAAAATGGAACTAGTAGAAGTGACTGCTCCTTCCCTTTTTGCTAACTTTTCTGGTTTTTGTACAAGGATCAAATATTTACAGTAACACATTTTAATATTAAACATTTTTATATATTACACTTGAGTGTCTTTACATTCAACAATGTGACCATCATCAATATCTTTCTAAATTTTCCCTAGCACTGTTTTATAGCTTGAAATGATGACATTAGATGCAAAATTACTTAAATGGGCTACATTTTACTTCACTCAACATTTAGTTAAATTTTCTATTTGAGCAGCAATAACCACTCTAATTAGCTCTTACCATTACTGGGGACAGAGACTGCATTTCCTTGGTTTTAACTAAACTCATTCAAAAGAACTCGCTCCACCAAACACTCATTCTCCTTTTTTGAGCCTAGAATTTAACATAACAGTCCAATTCAACTTAGGAATAGGCAATGGTTTTATGGAACTGTCTTGGGAATGGAACAGGTATGCCTCAGGCTAGACTGTAGTGTATGGGTTCTTGCCTTCACATAAAAATGATTTCATGACAACGTCCAGGTGACTTTGAGAGTATGTTCATTAAAGCTGAGAAGAATGAAGCAAGGAAGTTCTTAGGGTAGAGGAAGCAACAGGAGAGAGCATATGTAGTTCTCTCTTTTGGTTTCCTAGAAACTTTATACAAAAGAAGTGAGCCAAGGCAGGGCTGCTTTTAGCTCACTGGCAAGTCATAGACAGGATCAGAGGTAAGCCCAGGACCAGCTGCCTTTGTCAGATGTTCTCCTGGTTGCAAGTCCCATGGGGATCCTTCATTTTAAGAGGAAGTAAAACATTCAGGCCCAGAAAGAGCCATGGCAGTGTAAGGCCATAGTTCACTGACACAGTAGAACAATCTATACTTAATTGAAGTCCAACCTATCCAAAATTATAAGCTACTAAATAATACTGGAACACAATCTGTAGGCAAGTATTTGAAAATGAATTGTGCTGTGTAAAATGAAGTCATATCACATAAAAGCATAAAAATTATGGCTGACACACAAAGGCAGTCATTCTCATGTATGTACTCTTACTCTGAGAGAAAACCTCCTTTCTGTCCTTTGATTCTTACCTGCTTTGAATGAAAACCAGCTGGCTGTTCTATTAACCAGGACAACACTTCCCAGGTCTCCAAGATGAAAATGTAATTATCTACACTAACTTAATGTTAAATTTTACTTAATTTAAATTAATAAAAACAATTTTAAAGAGTTGTATGTGGCTAGTGATGACCATATTGGACAGAGTAGTTCCAGATAGTACCCACTAGATTTGAAATCGTCATCCCTGAATTTCAGGATACTTCTCCTCCACTAGTTCCATAGAGAAGTAATTACAGGGCCATCAGTGTTCACAGTATCAACAGAAAGATCCTGATCAGGTAGTTTCCACCTGCCATTTCTGGACCTCCACCTTGTAGGCAGAGGCAGCCTATTTCAGTAGCAGTTTGACACTAACTTCCTCCTTTCCCTGGCAATTTGGACAGTTCAGGCCAATGGCTCATGAAAATCAGTCTCCTAGTTGATTTCTGAGGCAATATTTTCTTCTCTGATAAGAACAGTAGTGAAGGGAAGACATTTCTCTCTTTTTATGCTGGGAGCTATTGTCATTGTCTGCCAGCAGTTGTCTTGTGACCAGGAGGGAACAGTGAAGAAGAAGCAGCTTATCTTAACATCATTGAGTAGCTGAATTGTATTCTAGAATCACCTACATGTGCATTTGTTATTTTGTAAGAAAAACAAATGCCTATTGTTTAAGTCATGTCTCATCAGTATTCTGCTGCTTACAAGCCTCAGCACCCATGCTAAATGAGATCCTTAAACTTCTTATGGTGGGCAAGGTTGTATAATTTCATGGTATTTTGAGAAATATGTAAATGTGGGAGCAGGGAGGAGGACAGAATAAAGATGGGAGTTGCTTGAAGTATCAGCTGTCTTCCAACTGTTCTGTTGGAGAACTGTGGGACACAAAGCATGACACAGCTCTCAGCTGGGATGACATGAGGTCTCAGTGTGTGACCAGACAAAAGTGGTGAAAGTGCAATAAGAGAGGAAAAATAAGCCAGTCAGATCATGGAGATCCTGAAGGGACACACTAAGAGTTTTGGACTTGTTTCTAAAGGCCTTAAGAAACCATTGTAAGTTTTACATAAACAAGAGGATCATATTTACAACAGGATCAGTGTTATGTAAATGACAGGATCTGATTGATAAAAACATCAATCGGGCTTCAGGTATGGTGGAGAATGGTTGACATGGGGCAAAGCTAGATGTTGAGAGATCAGAGAGAGCATATCCTATCAAGAGGCTATGATGTCAACATGGCTTAGTACTCACAGTGCTAACTTTGATCAGTGGAAATTGTAGTCATTTGGTCAGGTTGCGAGTGTTGAATACACACAATAGCAAGGTAAAATACACCACATAAAACAAAAGACAAAAATCACATGATCATATCAATAGCTGTGGAAAAAGCATTTGATAAGATGCAGCACTCATTTATGATAAAAACACTCAGCAAAGTGGGAATAGAGGGATCATTCTTCAACCTAATAAAGGCCACGTATCAGAGACCTACAGCCAACATCATACTCAATGGGCAAAAACTTACAGCTTTCCCACTAAGGTCAGGAAGAAGACAAGGATTCCCACTTTCACCACTTCTATTCAACATAGTATTGAAAGTCCTAGCCACAGCAATCAGACAAGAAAAAGAAATAAAAGGGATCCAAATAGGAATGGAGGAAGTAAAACTGTCATTGTTTGCAGATGACATGATAGTGTACATAGAAAATGCTACAGACTCCACCAAAATACTACTCGACCTAATAGATGTATTTGGCAACAGGGTGGGATACAATGTCAATATTCAGAAATCAAAGGCATTTTTGTACACAGCAACAATGAAATATCAGAGAAATCAAGAAAAATATCCCATTTGATATAGCAACGAGAAAAATATAACCAAAGAGGTAAAGTACCTGTACTCAGAAAACTACACAATACTGAAGAAAGAAATTAAGGAAGACACAAACAAATGGAAGCATGTACCATGCTTATGGATTGGAAGAATTAACATCATCAAAATGGCCATACTACCGAAAGTGATTTACAGATTCAGTGCAATCCCTAAGAAAGTACCAATGACATATTTCACAGATATAGAACAAACATTTCAGAAGTTTATATGGAACCATAAATGACCCTGAATAGCTGCAGCAATTTTGAAAGAACAAATCAAGAGGGATCACAATACCTGATATCAAAATGTATTACAAGGCCACTATAATCAATACAACCTGGTACTAGCATAAAAACAGACACACAGACCAATGGAACACAACAGAGAACCCAGAAATAAACCTACATCTCTATGGTCAATTAATATTTGACAAAGGGGACAGAAGCATAAAATGGAGTAATAATAACGTCTTTACCAAATGGTGATGGGAGACCTGGACAGCTATATACCAAAAAATGAAACTCAATCACCAACTGATACCATACACAAAAATAAATTCAAGGTGGATAAAAGACTTACATATAAGTTGTGACACCATAAATGTCCTGGAGGAAAATATTGGAAGGACAGTCTCAGACATTCCACGTAGCAATATTTTCACTGATAAGTCCCCTAAAGCAAGGGACATAAAGGAAAGAATAAACAAATGGGACTTCATCAAAATAAAAAGCTTCTTCATGGCTAAAGAAAACAGCATTAAAATGAAAAGAAAACTAACTATATGGGAAAATGTATTTGCCAATGACACCTCAGACAAGGATTTGATCTCCAAAATATATAGAACTCACATGATTCCACTCCAGGAAGACAAAAACCCCAATTAAAAAATGGAGAAAAAACTTGAACAGACACTTCTCCAAGGAGGACATACAGAGTACCCAGAGACATATGAAAAGATGCTCAGCATCACTAGGCATCAAGAGATACAAATTAAAACCACAATGAGATACCACCTCACACCAGTCAGAATGGCCATCATAAACAAATCAAAAAACAAGTGTTGGAGAGGATGTGGAGAAAAGGGAACCCTAGGGCACTGTTGGCAGGAATGAAGACTGGTGCAGCCACTGTGGAAATCACTATGGAATTTCCTCAAAAAACTAAAAATGGGACTGCCTTTTGACCCAGCAATTGCACTGCTGGGATTATACCCTAAGAGCCCTGAAACACCAATCCATAAGTACCTATGCACCCCAATGTTCATAGCAGCACAATTTACAATAGCTAACTACTGGAAGCAACTAAGTGCCCATCAGTATATGAGTGGATCAATAAACTGTGGTACATTTACACAATGGAATACTAAGAAGCAGAGAGAAAGAAGGAGCTTCTACCCTTTGTGACACTTGGATGGAACTAGAGATAATTATGCTAAGTGAAATAAGCCAGGCGGTGAGGGACAAATACCATATGATCTCACCTTCAGCTGGAACATAATCAACAAAAGAGAAAAGCAAACAAAATATAACCAGAGACACTGAAATTAAGAACAATCTAACAATAGCCAGAGGGGAGAGGGGAGGGGATAGTGGGGGAAAAGTTTTCAGGAACTACTATAAAAAAACATATGGACAAAAACAAGGGGGAGGGTACAAGCAAGAGAAGGAGGTGGGTTTGGCTGGGGTGGGGGGAAGTGGTGTTGGTGGGGAAATGCAGACAACTGTAATGGAACAACAATA